GTCTATATGTTCTGTCCTAGATTCTCCATAGTGACACCCTACAGGTACATAGGTCTATATGTTCTGTCTTGGATTCTCCATAGTGACACCCTACAGGTACATGGGTCTATATGTTCTGTCTTGGATTCTCCATAGTGACACCCTACAGGTACATGGGTCTATATGTTCTGTCTTGGATTCTCCATAGTGACACCCTACAGGTACATGGGTCTATATGTTCTGTCCTAGATTCTCCATAGTGACACCCTACAGGTACATGGGTCTATATGTTCTGTCCTGGATTCTCCATAGTGACACCCTACAGGTACATGGGTCTATATGTTCTGTCCTGGATTCTCCATAGTGACACCCTAGGTACAGGTACATATGTTCTGGGATTCTCCATATACACCCTACAGGTGTTCTGTCTGTCTTGGATTCTCCATAGTGACACCCTACAGGTACATAGGTCTATATGTTCTGTCCTGGATTCTCCATAGTGACACCCTACAGGTACATAGGTCTATATGTTCTGTCCTGGATTCTCCATAGTGACACCCTACAGGTACATGGGTCTATATGTTCTGTCCTGGATTCTCCATAGTGACACCCTACAGGTACATGGGTCTATATGTTCTGTCCTGGATTCTCCATAGTGACACCCTACAGGTACATGGGTCTATATGTTCTGTCTTGGATTCTCCATAGTGACACCCTACAGGTACATAGGTCTATATGTTCTGTCTTGGATTCTCCATAGTGACACCCTACAGGTACATAGGGTCTATATGTTCTGTCTTGGATTCTCCATAGTGACACCCTACAGGTACATAGGTCTATATGTTCTGTCCTGGATTCTCCATAGTGACACCCTACAGGTACATGGGTCTATATGTTCTGTCCTGGATTCTCCATAGTGACACCCTACAGGTACATAGGTCTATATGTTCTGTCCTAGATACTCCATAGTGACACCCTACAGGTACATAGGTCTATATGTTCTGTCTTGGATTCTCCATAGTGACACCCTACAGGTACATAGGTCTATATGTTCTGTCCTAGATTCTCCATAGTGACACCCTACAGGTACATAGGTCTATATGTTCTGTCCTAGATACTCCATAATGACACCCTACAGGTACATAGGTCTATATGTTCTGTCCTAGATACTCCATAGTGACACCCTACAGGTACATAGGTCTATATGTTCTGTCTTGGATTCTCCATAGTGACACCCTACAGGTACATAGGTCTATATGTTCTGTCCTAGATACTCCATAGTGACACCCTACAGGTACAAAGATCTATATGTTCTGTCCAAGATACTCCATAGTGACACCCTACAGGTACATAGGTCTATATGTTCTGTCCTAGATACTCCATAGTGACACCCTACAGGTACATGGGTCTATATGTTCTGTCTTGGATTCTCCATAGTGACACCCTACAGGTACATGGGTCTATATGTTCTGTCCTAGATACTCCATAGTGACACCCTACAGGTACATAGGTCTATATGTTCTCTCATAGATTCTCCATAGTGACACCCTACAGGTACATAGGTCTATATGTTCTCTCATAGATTCTCCATAGTGACACCCTACAGGTACATAGGTCTATCTGTTCTGTCTTGGATTCTCCATAGTGACACCCTACAGGTACATAGGTCTATATGTTCTGTCCTGGATTCTCCATAGTGACACCCTACAGGTACATGGGTCCATATGTTCTGTCCTGGATTCTCCATAGTGACACCCTACAGGTACATAGGTCTATATGTTCTGTCCTAGATACTCCTTAGTGACACCCTACAGGTACATAGGTCTATATGTTCTGTCTTGGATTCTCCATAGTGACACCCTACAGGTACATAGGTCTACATGTTCTGTCCTAGATACTGCTTAGTGACACCCTACAGGTACATAGGTCTATATGTTCTGTCCTAGATTCTCCATAGTGACACCCTACAGGTACATAGGTCTATATGTTCTGTCCTAGATACTCCATAGTGACACCCTACAGGTACATAGGTCTATATGTTCTGTCTTGGATTCTCCATAGTGACACCCTACAGGTACATAGGTCTATATGTTCTGTCCTGGATTCTCCATAGTGACACCCTACAGGTACACGGGTCTATATGTTCTGTCTTGGATTCTCCACTGTGACACCCTACAGGTACATAGGTCTATATGTTCTGTCTTGGATTCTCCATAGTGACACCCTACAGGTACATGGGTCTATATGTTCTGTCTTGGATTCTCATAGTGACACCCTACAGGTACATGGGTCTATATGTTCTGTCCTTGATTCTCCATAGTGACACCCTACAGGTACATGGGTCTATATGTTCTGTCTTGGATTCTCCATAGTGACACCCTACAGGTACATGGGTCTATATGTTCTGTCTTGGATTCTCCATAGTGACACCCTACAGTTACATGGGTCTATATGTTCTGTCTTGGATTCTCCATAGTGACACCCTACAGGTACATGGGTCTATATGTTCTGTCTTGGATTCTCCATAGTGACACCCTACAGGTACATGGGTCTATATGTTCTGTCTTGGATTCTCCATAGTGACACCCTACAGGTACATGGGTCTATATGTTCTGTCCTGGATTCTCCATAGTGACACCCTACAGGTACATGGGTCTATATGTTCTGTCTTGGATTCTCCATAGTGACACCCTACAGGTACATGGGTCTATATGTTCTGTCTTGGATTCTCCATAGTGACACCCTACAGGTACATAGGTCTATATGTTCTGTCCTGGATTCTCCATAGTGACACCCTACAGGTACATGGGTCTATATGTTCTGTCTTGGATTCTCCATAGTGACACCCTACAGGTACATGGGTCTATATGTTCTGTCTTGGATTCTCCATAGTGACACCCTACAGGTACATGGGTCTATATGTTCTGTCTTGGATTCTCCATAGTGACACCCTACAGGTACATAGGTCTATATGTTCTGTCTTGGATTCTCTATAGTGACACCCTACAGGTACATGGGTCTATATGTTCTGTCCTGGATTCTCCATAGTGACACCCTACAGGTACATAGGTCTATATGTTCTGTCCTGGATTCTCCATAGTGACACCCTACAGGTACATGGGTCTATATGTTCTGTCTTGGATTCTCCATAGTGACACCCTACAGGTACATGGGTCTATATGTTCTGTCCTGGATTCTCTATAGTGACACCCTACAGGTACATAGGTCTATATGTTCTGTCCTGGATTCTCCATAGTGACACCCTACAGGTACATGGGTCTATATGTTCTGTCCTGGATTCTCCATAGTGACACCCTACAGGTACATAGGTCTATATGTTCTGTCTTGGATTCTCCATAGTGACACCCTACAGGTACATAGGTCTATATGTTCTGTCCTGGATTCTCCATAGTGACACCCTACAGGTACATAGGTCTATATGTTCTGTCCTGGATTCTCCATAGTGACACCCTACAGGTACATGGGTCTATATGTTCTGTCCTGGATTCTCCATAGTGACACCCTACAGGTACATGGGTCTATATGTTCTGTCTTGGATTCTCCATAGTGACACCCTACAGGTACATGGGTCTATATGTTCTGTCCTGGATTCTCCATAGTGACACCCTACAGGTACATGGGTCTATATGTTCTGTCCTGGATTCTCCATAGTGACACCCTACAGGTACATAGGTCTATATGTTCTGTCTTGGATTCTCCATAGTGACACCCTACAGGTACATAGGGTCTATATGTTCTGTCCTGGATTCTCCATAGTGACACCCTACAGGTACATAGGTCTATATGTTCTGTCTCTTGGATTCTCCATAGTGACACCCTACAGGTACATGGGTCTATATGTTCTGTCTTGGATTCTCCATAGTGACACCCTACAGGTACATGGGTCTATATGTTCTGTCCTGGATTCTCCATAGTGACACCCTACAGGTACATAGGTCTATATGTTCTGTCTTGGATTCTCCATAGTGACACCCTACAGGTACATGGGTCTATATGTTCTGTCTTGGATTCTCCATAGTGACACCCTACAGGTACATAGGGTCTATATGTTCTGTCCTGGATTCTCCATAGTGACACCCTACAGGTACATAGGTCTATATGTTCTGTCTTGGATTCTCCATAGTGACACCCTACAGGTACATAGGTCTATATGTTCTGTCCTGGATTCTCCATAGTGACACCCTACAGGTACATAGGTCTATATGTTCTGTCCTGGATTCTCCATAGTGACACCCTACAGGTACATGGGTCTATATGTTCTGTCCTTGGATTCTCCATAGTGACACCCTACAGGTACATTCTATATGTTCTGTCCTGGATTCCCTGACACCCTACAGGTACATAGGTCTATATGTTCTCTGTCCTGAGATTCTCCATAGTGACACCCTACAGGTACATGGGTCTATATGTTCTGTCCTGGATTCTCCATAGTGACACCCTACAGGTACATAGGTCTATATGTTCTGTCTTGGATTCTCCATAGTGACACCCTACAGGTACATGGGTCTATATGTTCTGTCTTGGATTCTCCATAGTGACACCCTACAGGTACATGGGTCTATATGTTCTGTCCTGGATTCTCTATAGTGACACCCTACAGGTACATAGGTCTATATGTTCTGTCCTGGATTCTCCATAGTGACACCCTACAGGTACATGGGTCTATATGTTCTGTCCTGGATTCTCTATAGTGACACCCTACAGGTACATGGGTCTATATGTTCTGTCCTGGATTCTCCATAGTGACACCCTACAGGTACATGGGTCTATATGTTCTGTCTTGGATTCCCTACAACGACAACATCGGCACTTAAGACTATACACACGTGTCAGGGTTGAGTTGAAGATAACTTGTCATGCTTCATTAAGCCTTTAAGGACAATTTGCATGGCCAGCACCGTAGATACACTTTATTCACAACCATGTGAAACAACAAACGTTATTTTTCCTCAGGGACATTTATCAAAATTTCATATATATGCATGCCAGTATCTCTATAGTGTGTGGACATCGCTATGCAGTAAGAAAAGATTAAGCCACGAACCATGAAACTGACTGACGAGGCTAAGCCCAGTTTCTATAAACATAAGTTGCACCATTGATCCGTCCGGTCACAAGTTGGGTAAGTCTGATAAACACTTCTCCCTTGTACCCATAACGCATCACACAAAAGTAAATACTTTGTAATGCCAGTTTTATCCTTTGCATATTATCACATATAAAACGTTTAATACTCATGAATAATTGGAAAAGTTAATGGGTTTTTTTGTTAAAAACGACCTTTGGTTTTGCGTCTGAGATAACGTTAACAGTCAACTATGTTATCATAAGCCAAAAATAATTTAATCTTATCTCACCAAAATTAAGTTTCAATAAAAAAGAACTCAGATTACCATTAGTTTGCAGTCATGACGCGACCCATTGAGTCTATCATGGCGACATATTTGTAAGAGTTGATAGGAAAAAGAAAGCTTTGGTGGCACGATCAAGTTTTCCAAGCCGCCACAGTTGACTCATCAGGGTTGGGTTTGTTCCCCTATGATCATGGGTTCAAATCCCAGATTGTCCCTGATTTTTAACGATGCCATATATCTTTGTTCTTTCTTCACTAAGGTGACATTGACTTCATTACATCACTTCTAGCATTCTTTCCACACCAAGTTGAACTTGATTGAATTTCTGTTCATTTCGGACCGCCTCCGTGGTGTAGTGGTTAGAGCGTCCGCCCGGAGAGCGGAAGGTCGCGGGTTCGATCCCCGACCGCGTCATACCAAAAGACGTTAAAATATGGTACTTGTTGGTCCCTGCCTGGCGCTCGGCATTAATGGATACAACAAGGACTGGTCGGCTCGGAGTCAGTATACTGTGTCTGAGTGGGGTATTCATGCTTCACTGGTATGGTATCTCAGTGAGCTAGCACTATAAAACCAGCTTAAGTCTGGGCTAGTACAAGCAGCCGCACATACACATACACACGCATGCACGTCGTCATATGAGCGAAATATTCTCAAGCACGACGTTAAACCCAATTTCACCTCACCTCTGTTCATTTCGGCGTTAAACATGAACAGGTTAAAGTGGAACAGTTTTTATGGATAGACAACTTCTTTGTTGCAGTAGTAGTTGCAATAAAGAAGTTGTCTATCCATAAAAAGTGTTCCACTTCATCATACCTGTTTGTAAATGCCACTTAAGGAAGAAAGAACAAGTTACTCTAATGATTGACTAAGACATCATAGACCTACAATTTCTAATTCACGTGACATATCCCCAATAGAGGGATGTTTTCGGGCACAGAACAGCGAGACACCCAGCACGTACCATCACGGCCCACCTTGATGTAGTTCGGGGATATTTTCGGGCGGAGAACAGCGAGAGAAAGTCATTTCACGGACATTAATCGTTCTATTTCCTCCACTGTCATTTATAATTTCCCTTATGTTCAGTCGGTAGCATACACGTAAAATAGTATCAACAGTTTAACAAGTTAGTGAGTAAGCTAAATGGTTCACACATACCACGGGTACAACTGCCTATCCCGGGGTGTATGTCTTGGTGTACTCATTCTCCTATGTTAATACGTGTCTTGAGTCCCAATGAAGTTTCCACTCCAACTGTTATCAAGTCATTTGCCGAGATAACCATGGTAACAGGGAAACCACAATCACCCTGTAAGTGCTAAGTTATAACTGTTCTGATGCTGTTAACAGTTTAGTCCAGTCAAATTAGAGGAAAGAGTCACTGAACCGCAAAAAATTTGGTACATAAATGGTTTTGTGTTTATATCATGTAAAATAGTTATGTAAACAATATATTAAAAAGTCCTCCCTTGGATGTTGATGCTAAGTGGCTTTTGGGGTACAAAAATTATGAAAAATGGTATTTTTCTAATATTTTTTTCTACATGCAAATAAGTCCAGAAAATCGTATAAAATCTTGAAAAACATACAACAGAAGTGTATAAAATAGTAAACAATGAAGATTCAAATTGAAATAAATCATGACATGAGGTTTGAACTTTGGACACTCCAGCACACAGGAAAAGAGTAAATGAGAGTTATCTCCCCTTTGTTTACAATAGCTAGAAGTTGCAGAATGGAAAGAAAGGTTCTATATCAATAAAATTATGACAAGATGAGGCTATAGTTAGTGCAATAGATAAAGGATTAAGCAGACAGCTAAAGGTACAATTAAGAGAGATGGTTAGGGAACTGAGGTGATTCAGCTCCCATAATTAGCGCACTGAGCTATATGCACTGTGGTCGTGTAACACCTAAGGGACATTGGGACATTCTGTAACAAGATTTAACAGAACTTGAAGAAACATATGCTCGAATGATAGATTAGGAAAATATGATAACATTGATGTGACAAATTCAATAATAGTCTAGTATTTAGTATCACTTCCCCCTCTACCCTAGTATGGTGACCTAACTTCTGTTGCTAGCGATCTCTTGCCACTTTTTATCTCGTATCGTTAATTGTTAGTATATGATTACCATTTTCTTTGATCTACTTTTAACAGGTGCGTGATGATCTAGTAATTTTACTGCCCTTCCTTGACAGGGTTTTATAAATAATATATGTTTATCATGAGTTTAGAACCAGTTTTATTGCCGATGTGACTTAAAATCGTCACTGACTGACTGACTGACTGACTCACCTTCAAAGCACGACGAGTGTACTTTAACACTTACAGTGCCGGACAGTTTAAGAAGGGCCTGGGTACGCTTATAATACAATTTATATTTTTATGTTATTAATTTTCAAACAATCTCAATAGGTAATAGAAGGATATGCATGTTCTCTTTCAACTTTAATTGGCAAATTTGTATAGTATAATTGGTAATTGTTTTATCAGATTTGAAATCTCAGTAACATTTAAAAAACGGAGTAAAATCTATAAGAAAAAACCCCAATTGATATTGATTCACAAAAACTGGATATATAACACATATTTGTAATGCAAAACATGCAAATCTTTTTCTTACAATCATAACTGAGGCTACTTGTAAAAAACTACTAGTAAGGTTTTGAAAGTACAACCAGTATTGTCCTTTTACTGCCAGTTAAAACAAAAAAATGTATAATAAAAATAATTTAAACTATTTTTGAAACTGAAATTACTAAGGGACAAATACTTTGAATATTTAAATACTTTACTTGTAGGTGGTGCATACTTGTTTATCAACCAATTTAAAATTTTGCTCAGGAAACAAAAAGATTTCTGACTGACACAGGGATGACTATATATCCCATGGTATTACATTTCATTGGTGGTAATTGTCATGAATTTATGTACAGTTCGATGTACCGGTAATTTATAAACTATTGCAAGCACCGTTGAACCAAATCGCCTCACCCAACCGCAACTCAACTATTCATGTCAGCCTGAACACACCCCCTCAAATTATTCAGGACTTCCTTTACTCAGAATATCTTCTGTTACTTGGAATAGCATTCTCAACAAGCATGATACGCAATACTACGACTACGAGACCAAGGGTATCTCTAGCACCCTATTGAAAAGCCCTTGGTGTTCTGGGTCACCAATACCATCACTATAGTTCAAGCCACCTGATATGTTAAATAATATTTTGTTCAGTCATTACTATCTCTAGTTACAGAAGTAGGAGCTAAGTGCAACGCTTCCGAAAATGGGTGTACACAAGGTCAGTTCATTCAATTTGCAACAGGTAATGTATACTGGCCACATAAAGAAACTGTGCACACAGAAAATATATAGATAGGAAGACAGCGTCTTTATGCATAAATAAAGGTGTGAACATAGCAAGTATTGGAGACCATAAAACGCTCATGCAGGTGCCAGGCGACGTGACGTCATTGACGGTGGCCTATGGACTTGCAATGTGTTACTGCACGTGCAGCCTGTGCAACTGCACACAACATGTGAAACTCAGAAATTGATGTCACTGTCGAAAGCTTGATCTTTGGTCATTCAAACGTTTACGAATTCACATGAAAAGTCACATACACATCATGCCAAGATTAATATGTGCTCAACGTCATGAAGCCATTGGAATGGTTCGAGCAGGCATGAGCCAACAACAGGTGGCAGCACATTTCCAATGCCATCGTAACACGATATCTGCATTGGTCAGGCGTTAGGGAAACAGTAATGACGTTGCCGACCACCCACGTTCTGGGCGTCCCCGAGTAACGACGCCAAGACAGGACAGATGGATTCGGGTGACTCATATCAGACACAGGTTCCAGACGGCAGTGACCACGTCCCAAACCATTCCACAGGCCTTCATTTGGAACATTTGGTAGCCTCTATGTGTCGTCAATGCACTGCTGTGCTTCACGCGCATGATGGTCATACCCGTTATTGACTTTGTGACTTCGACGTGTGACCCCCGACTCAGTTTTGAACTTCTGACGTCATCGTTACGGATATTGTTCATGTTCTTTTGACATGTTGTTGTGGCCCGATACATCAGCTTATAAAGTGTCTACATCATGTCGTCTTTTCTGTGTTGTATTCCAATTCTGAAGGAACTTTCTGTGTGCACAGTTTCTTTATGTGGCTAGTATAGATCAATCTGAGAACATGGATTAACGCATACCGATGACGTTTCTCCCAATCAGGCGGCTGTTTGCCAAGGTTGCATAGGTTTTGATGCGCTAAAAGGGATTGATGCATATTCCTTTACAAAGCAATTCGTTCATACTTAGCTGAATAAAATTACTTGATGTCTTGAACAAGTGAATCACTAGATTGTGTCATTCTCCGGACTGAGTTATGTCACCTGCATGCCTTGGATCAGCCTGAATACCAGAGACAGAGCTGTATTTGCTCAACTTACGTGTTTGTGAGTGGTCAGACAAGCAAATACCGTGTCGACAATCCACATCTTCAATCTTTGGCAATAAATACACTCTTCTTTCAGTAAAACTAAACCTCTTGTCATTGACAAATATCTGGATAGCAAAGGCACCACTTAGTTTCTTGATTGAACTCCTATTGGCTTTGGAGACAGGCGTTGTGTGCGCGCGCACGCACACACACACACACACAGAGCACACACATGCAATAAAAAGACATCTGTACTATCAAATATGTGAGAATATAAACGAATTTAAAAGGTGAGTTTTCGC